AGAAGGGTCGATCAAGGTCATCAGGCAACATATACAGCAACGTATATACAACATTCAAAATTACCAGCAGGAAAAGATAAACACTCCTTTGGACATGAGTTGCTTTTTGAGCATTGCATGTAAAAAAAAAAAGGCCGAACAGTTAGCAAGTCCCCAAGAACCTCATCTTTCACTCTTCTGTGAAGGGCTTCAGAGATATTTCAAAAGGGAACCTGATGAAATGCATTACTGCTGATTGAGTCAGCAGGTTTACTCCTGAGTTTCATTAGTGAATTCTTCCCAATATTTAGCAACCACAGCGTCTTTGAAGGAGGAAAGGACCAGCTTGACTAAAAATCAAATCCTTCCTAAGGGACAGCAGGCAGAAATATAAGGTCAAACACTTCAGCTGGTATTACAGAAAAGTAGCAGAAAACCAACCTCTGGCTAGAACTAATAAATGTAGAAGAGGTTATGACCTCAATTGATCTCTCCATTTCTGCACCAATGGGAGATAGCAAGTAACATTTACTTTCTTCATGAGTGAGTGGAAACTAGAGACGATGCTAACAAATTTCATAACCAATATTTGGGCCAGTCTAGTCACGACATCCCAAAGAAGATATAACAGAGCTGGAAAAGATCCAGGGAAAAACAACTAAGATAATCAAGGGGAAAGCTTATCTTTCAGTCAAGGACAGACTAAAAGACTAAAAAGGATTAGAATTTCTCAGACTGGGAAGATGAAAATGAAAAGCATTAGTCGGGGGATGTGAGGCTAAAGTCGACTCTGGACAAAAATAAATGTCTTTGCTGAATTTCAAAGAATTTAATTGAGGCCATTCCTTGAGGTCAAAGGATGCAGATTCAAGAGAAATTGAAATGCCTATATTTATATAGAAATCGGTACATTTATGGAACATATTATTATTAAGACAAAACTGAAGTGGGGAATAGGAAAAGCTTGACACCATTGGATAAACTCACTGCCAGTTGATTTACAATGCATTATTAAGACGTGGTCATGATGTACCTGAATTTTTTAGGTAAAATGCACTAGGTTACCTGACAAAACAACCGTTGGTATTTTCGTCTAGGACAGAGTTCTGGGCTAGTTGCCCTGTTGGTCTGACCCAGTGTGGTATTTCTTATGCTTTTATTATGACATCTATGCTGGAACATCCTGCATGCATGTTTGGGATTCCTAAATTCTTTTGACAGTCCAGAACACAGACGAATAATTTTCTAACTCATTAAGAAAGCAAGAGAGCCCCAGCTCTTGGCTCTGTTTGGTTTACCCATATGGGAGCATGCAACATAAAAAGGTGAAAGAAATCCTAACAGAATGCAGCAGCTGGTTAAAGGCTATTATATTGAAATTTTCATGAGTTTGACAGTAGGCCAAAAAACTACAAAATGGCAGAGAGTAGAAAAGGCAGTTGTAACAGGTTGAACATTGTTGGTGATTATTTTTTCAGTGGCAATGAAAGCTGTAATCAAATAACCTGAAAGAGATGCTGGCAGGAATAAGGGAGCCCCAAGGGAGAGGGAATATGAAAACTGTAACAATGATGTATGCTGTGGACAAATAAACTAGACAAACATATAGTTTGAAGTATCAAAATCAAGGTTCTTAGCATCATAGGAAAAGCTGATGTCAGGATGCAGGCATAAACACTGCCTGATTTGCAAACTAGAGCAAAAGATGTTAATGACTTAAAATCTCAAGAATGAGTGCACAATTCAACAACCAAAAGGAACTGTGCTATTGGTATAGAAACCTCTTGTTATGTGGGCGATCCCTTTATCCCAGCATTGAAAAGAAAAAGTTATAAAGCATTGAAAACATAGCCAGAGAAGACACCTGGTTTTGCAGCTGGGCATCTGTGGTAAAAACTCTTGACTGGAAGTCAAGACAAACAAGATAAGAAAGAGGAAAAACGAGGACTGGTTGAAGCATTGTCACTGTGAACTTATTTTTGTTCTTTTTAGACCAATACGGCATGTCAGATTATGAATGGCATTAAGCTGTGCATAAAGTTCACCGAACCTTGTACATCAGATTAATTTGCTTTCAATAGAAAATTTTAGATAATAGTAATGGCTAATAAGACACAAGTGCCATTAATCATCTGCTTACTGACAATGTTCATTTTATAAACATGTGTTTTCCCTATATTACAGTTTAACATTTTACACTTATATTTGAGAAATTATATCATCCCTAATTTCAAACAGATTTATAATTGTAGAGAGAATTGCTCTCCATAAGGTTTCAGAGATATTTTTGAGAAATTATGTAATTTCCTCATTCCAAGGAACTGATTATTTCAGAGGCTTTTAAGGTCTCCATACTCACCTTTCTGCAAATTTGTCCTACCTATTTTTCTCTCTCTCTCATCATGAGCCAGGAAGTATAATAGTCCTAAATTATATACCAAGATTTGAGTTCTTTAAAGAGGTGTGGTGAAATTGGAGTGGGTTGACAGGGCATATCTAAAGCTAATTAAACAGTGGAAAAATAAAATTCCTATTTTTTAAAGTAACAATTTGCATTATGTTCATTAAAATAATGAATCTTAAAAATAAAGATATTATCAAACAAAAGCTGAGATCTTAGGTTTTTAAGTTTGGACAGGACAACTGAATGAGTCATACTCATTAAGTCTTAGAGATAAAAAGGATCTTAGATATCATCTAGTCCAACTCTCTATTTTATGAATTAGAAATCAAGGTTTGGCTGGCCATGGTGGCTCAAGCCTGTAATCCCAGCACTTTGAGAGGCCGAGGCGGGTGGATCACCTGAGGTCAGGAGTTCGAGACCAGCCTGACCAATATGGTGAAACCTCGTCTCTACTAAAAATACAAAAATTAGCCAGGGGTGGTGGCAGGTGCCTGTAGTCCCAGCTACTCGGGAGCTAAAATGGGAGAATTGCTTGAACCCAGGAGGCAGGGGTTGCAGTGAGCTGAGGTCGGGTTACTGCACTCCAGCCTGGGCAACAGAGTGAAAGTCCATCTCAAAAAAAAAAAAAAAAAAAGAAACCAATATTTTTATAGGTTAAGTGACTTGCCTAAAGCCATACAATCACCTAATGACAGCGCCTCTAAGACTAGACTGGAGGACTAAAATAATAAGAAGTTTTCTTTTTCACAGATCTGTGCCCTTATCAATACCATCACCATGGTCTTTAGGTACATGAAGGAGCACTGAACAAATCGGATGTGTAGCTGCTCTCTAATTCCACTGAGAAACAGCAAGACACTAATACACGGAAGGGAATTACAGCTTTTCCGGAATTTGTCTCTTTTTTATTTCCGTTCCCCCACAGCAATGTACTGGGATCTCTTGTAGTAGAAGTAACATCAGGGAGAAGAAGATGAATATATAGGGAAAGGACAATGGGACCGGGGAGACCCTAGGAATTCATGTGAGACCTCTAGTGAGCCCCAGACAAGTAGTCATTTGGAGAATAATAGCTTAAAGGTGTCTTGAATTCTCCAGTGATCCCAAAACCTCATCTATGAAAGGAGAAAAAGAGTCTTTATTTCAGTTCATAAAGGAATTGGATAAAAGTGAGAGCTTTATGAATTGGTTGAAGAAGTAGCAGGTTTCAAACATGTTAGTCAGAAATAAAAATTTGTGAGGACAAAGACACTGATGTAGAAAATCACTGTCTAGAGTTTGAAGAAAATTGTTCCATAAAATATATAGTGGATGTAAGGTAATACAGTGCATGTCCACATCAATATATTATTTAATAAAGCATGTGATTTAAATAGGTATTTAAAATGTATAATTTTGAGTGACTAAATTAATGAATTAAATATAACAAAAGTAATAAAATTAAATTCACAAAATAAGAAAACTAAAAAGCAGAACCAAAACATGCTAAAAAAGAATTGTCAAGTTAAGAGATACCTCATCTGGAAAAATGTAATAAGACAAATGGTAAACCGTTTCCTAAAGTACGTACCTCTCCTGAAAGAATCAAAAGACTACCTTCACTCCCATTTTTCTGAGTTAACAAAATAGAGGCATAAAATCAAATTTCTTGAAGACTGTAGTAATGAAGATCTAGGACTGCCGTTATTGCTGTAGAACTGAATTAAGAAGAATTGATGGGCAGTGAAAGAATAAAAACAGATTCAATAAAAGATGGCAGGCGGAAAAAAATGGGAAAACATATAATATTTTTAGTCAGACTCATGGCAGAAGTAAGTTCAAAGACTTCAGTTGGTATTGAAGACTATTTTATGAACCCAGTAAATTGTAATTGTTGCTGAGGTTTCCAATTCAAAGTTAAATTTAAGTAAGACTCTACTGTACAATTGTAGAGAGACTGTGAAGGTATCATAATCACTCAATATCCTCTCTCCTCTCTCTTCCATGTTGACCTAATGTATTGTCACTTATATTTCATGCAAAATACCAAAGAAGGTGCTTCCAAGCACCCATATTCTTTTGACTGGCACAAATGTTTCCAGAAAACAGTATCATTCTGTTGTTGTTAGGTGACAAATACTGAGTGTTATGTATCAAGAATGAACAAGCAGGCCCTACAAGTCGAGGACTGCTGCTTTCTGCCTTTTCGAAACATGAAGTATTCATTCACCCAAAACAGTTGTGTACATATAACTGTGGAAATCTTCTATCTTTGACTGAAGAAGAAATGTGAGAAAACCCTCAAATAAATGAAATTGTTCTTGCAAAGATTGACTCCCACTATCAATAAAATTATCTGGAGCTTTTTGTTCTGTTGTGAAAAATCCGCCCCCTCTGTCACAAAACACACCATATATCCCGCATGAAATAAACTTTTCTTAAAAGTGGTTCCCCATTGCATCAGCAAATTTACAATGGTAATTTTAGAATAAGTTTTTTATCCAAGCTTCTTCAGGAAAAAAAAAGAAATAGGTATTGTAGGCCAGGCTAGTGTCACATTTTAAAAATAAACTCACTTGTGAATATACAGATTAGTCACAATAAATGCTCCTTTAAAAATGTGATACTTCCAACTTACTTGATATAGTAGGGCACTTTGTTTGGCGAGATGGCTCTCTCCCAGGGACCCTGGACAGATGCTGGAAAAGAGGGAGGAAAAAAAGAAAGGCAAGGAGGTCAAATTCATCGCAAACAGGAAAGACAACATTAATCTCCAGAATTACAATTTTACACTGATATTGGTCTGTTTGCTCAGCTGCCCATGAAGACAGGACGGATTAACCTGCTGTTCTGAAATTTCTGTCCTAATCTAAGTGAAATTGAACTCATTCAGGCACAAAGATAAATGCAAAGGAAAAAAGAAAAAACCCACAAACCTTTCCACTGCTAAACCTATAGAACAGATAAGAAACTGAATGAGTAGACTGACGGGGTGTCTTGTATGTGTCTCCCTTGAGTGCTTTTTTTTTTTTTTTTTTTTTATATAATACTTCCTGTTGCTGGTTCTCAATATTTTTTACTATTTGATTGACTGGATTTTATTATTTCAGTAGCTGAAATATCCTTGTGTGATATATTTACATTCTAAGTTATTGAAGCTAAAGTAATATGCTTATGCCTCTGATATGCTTGTTTTTCTCTTTATTGGTTTAAAGAGAATCCAAATTCACTTACCAAATAGATTCTTAATTTGGGGCCTCAAAATGTCAGCTGACCAGTGTGATCTTATTAGAAAAGGTGACCAAAAGAGGGAATGGTTACTGATATCAGAGTGTAATAAGAAGACTTTTGTTATGAGTGATGAATCCTCTAGCTGAAATTTCATTTCACATACTAGGAATTTGTTTTATTATGACTTCACTGTGTATTGGTCAAACGAATGATCTTTGCAGTTTTTTTTTTTTCAGACTTAAGTTGTAGGATTTCTTCCCTAATGCTGAACCTCTACAAATATATTTTATATACTGTTTGATCTGATTTTTTTTCTTTCTTTAAGACAAAATAATCTTGTTGAGGAGGCACTATAACGTTTCCTCAACAACATAATCTTCCTCCTGAATATAGTTTTAAGACACTGGAGCTTTAAGAAGCACAGACTATTATCAGAAACAGAAATAAAAGCAGCATTCTTATTAACATCTAGCAATTTTATGTGTCTTTACTTTTTTCCTGAATTTTCATTCTGCTTATAATTTGAAGCACAGCTGATGCTGACCATTATTTCCTCTTATGAAAAACTCCTTTTTAAATTAGTCTCACAGTACATTCACTCCGCCGTGTATTGAGATGTAAGAAAACGTCAAAGCTAATATATCCTTGACTACACTGTATAATATGAAAGAACAGCTTCTAATAAAAGTTAACTTCACCTACTGCCAGACAATTTAAGGGTAATGAAACTCCAGCTTCTTTGTTTTATATAGAGTAATAGAGGGATCAAATCACCCAACCTTTAACCAGACATGCTGTTTTGTACCTTGGAAATATGTCATTTAAACGATATAGGAAATGGATTTGTATTTGGCTGCTAATTATGCTTTTTCATTTTGGCAGATGGAAATTTTTAATATGGAGAAAAAAGACATTTAGCTACTGTTTCGAAGTAGTCCCCGACTTTCAATTTCTCTCTGTCCTTCTTTCTCTGTTCCTTTCTTTTCCCTTCCTCCTGCCTTCCCTGCTTCCCTTTCCATCTTTGCCTTTTTCATTCTCTTCCCAACTCTCCTCTTGTCCTTTTTTCTTCTGTAGGATACAGCTCTCCTGTCTAAACAAGTTCACAGAGTAAATAAGATCTGATTTAAAATCATGGGCTAAGGCCAGGCGTGGTGGCTTACACCTGTAATCCCAACACTTTGGGAGGCTGAGGCAGGCAGATCACCTGAGGTCAGGAGTTCGAGACCAGCCTGGCCAACATGACAAAACCCCATCTCTACTAAAAATACAAAAAAAAAAAAAAAAAAAAAAAAAGCCGGGCATGGTGGCAGGCGTCTGTAATCTCAGTTACTCAGGAGACTGAAGCAGGAAAATCGCTTGAACCCAGGAGGCAAAGGATGCAGTGAGCTGAGATCGCACCACTGCACTCCAGCCTGGGTGACAAGAGTGAAACTCCATCTGAAGAACAAACAAACAAACAAACAAAACGTGGGCTAGACTTCCTGACCTATCCGGTCAAAGTCTGTTGTTATGGAAATATTAAAAAGCTAGCCTTCTATAGCAGGAAACATGATGGAGAGTCAGAAATTATAGCTCCTGGCTGCTCAGTGTACCTTCTTAAAATGCCAGCATCATAAAAGGAAGAAGAGAACTCCAGAGAGCTCTTGGTCCAGCCCTCACTAGCTGTGAATGCCAAGCCTGTGAATACCTAAAATGAGAAAAGAATGGCTATTCTTTCCTTAAAGGTCTCTATGGGCTGAGGTCTCACAATTTCTCTTATTATACCTTTCTAGGTTTTTTTTTTTTTTTTTTTTTTTTTTAAGTCATTCTAGTGGTCCAGAAATTCTTTCCAATTTGGAGGATGCTAGACCATCCTCTGACAGCAGAAGTATCACTATGGATTTCCTACACTATTCTTAGGCGTCTCTCAGAAAGAAGTGTGCTGGAAAGGGCTGCTGGCTGCCTGGCCTGGCTTAGGGGATTTCGGTCTGAAAGAAACAACTGCCAAGCAGCAAGAGACAGAGGAAAATCAGTGTTGCCTGGCTGAGTTAATGGGAAGACCTACGTAGGGTATCTAGAATTGACTTTATATGTTTACGTTAAAAGGGGAAAAATTCCAATTAAATGTCAGAGAAGTTATCAGAATATGCTTGAACTAAATAGCTAAAAATATTTTAAAAGAATTTTTAAAATATTATAAATTCTAGATCAAAATGATTTTTCAAGCTTTTGTAATTGCAGTTCTTAAGTGTTCATTTATTTTCCTTAAAAAAGCCTTTGGTCTTACGTGTAGCCATCAAATAGGTCCAATGGTGATATTCGGTGTATATTTTTTTCCTGAAGGATGTTTTTCCCCTTTGATTCACAGTTTATAAATTCACCTAAGCAACTGGTTTGCAGTCATTGTTTGAAACCCTACAATTTTATACTCAAAAATGTCCTTGACATGATTAAAAAAAAAAAAAAAAAAAAAAGGAAAGTAACAGCAGCCTCCCCTCATTCCTTCCCTGCTCCATCATAACCACATACACACACACTGGAACTACTTGCTTTAGAAATAACACACAATTGGATGATAGTTCTATGGAATTGGGTTCAGTGCTCCTTCCCAAGAGATTCTTAAGGGTTGTTGGCAATTTCATTTGGGGCTGCCAGATGATTCTGGTCTTCCATCTATTCAAAAGTTGATCAAATATGTGGTAGTGCTCATAAGTGTGCCACAGAATTTTTTCATTTCTTGTAGCAGTACTGATGCCAACAACAGCTGTTTCTTATCTCAGTGTACCAGTGGAAGCTTGTCATTCTTCATAAAGCTAGCCTACGTAATAGACACACACATCTTTTATGCCTGATGTGTCAATTTTTAGTAGCCCATCAAAAGCAAATTTATCGGCAAATAGTTTGTATATGACACCGGGTTGTCCTTTGGTATTTTCTTATACAGACGTGTCTATAACCACTACGTGTAATTCCAGGGCAGCTTTGTGATTCAGATTCTTGAAGGTACAAATCATCCATTGTCATACAGCACCAGCGTCATGGGGTATTGTCCATTGAATTTAAATAGCGAACTACACATGCATTTATTTATTGCAAAACCAACCTCTGAATTTCCTTTTGTGTTACAGATACAGTATGTTATTAAGAGCAAGAAAGGGTAGCAATTCTACCTTCAAATGCTTTTCCTTCCTTGAGGTGACAGGATTCAATATTGTGCCCAAGGTAGTTTTGAAAATCACAAGCACAGGCCACATTATTTAGGGGAAGTTCTTATTTCAACCATTTGTAAATGCATGATGAACAAAATGTGCCAAGCGATGCACCCTAGTGTTAAGTCATATTTTAATCGGCACAGGGGCCTAACCAGAAAATTAAAAAGAATGCTAACGTTATTTTAAGACATGCCAAAAGAGCACTTCCTGGAATTCCAACCCAAACACATTCATTAATCTCTCTACTTTTCTCATATTTGGTGGATCTGGAGTTCGATAACATAGGTGGATCAAAAAAGTGGGGGCAGTTTAGATAAATAACCAATATAGCAATCACTGGAGGTAAAATGGAAAACTCACCTCTGTGGTTGAATAAAAGGCATTAGGGAGGACCTACTAGCCACTGGCACTCAGCTCCTCAGAAGTACTCAAATTCTGGTAATGGTCTTATGGATACATTCCATATTGATGCAATGAGCAATGCCTCTGAATCTTTTCCCCACTATCTCTGTACCCCAAACCCTAGGAATCTTTTTAGACATTTTTTTTTTCTAGTCGTCTCATCCCTCATAAAAATTTAATACTACAGATGTACTGTATGTCTGTTTATGGACTATGTGTATCTGTGCTTCACACATAAAAATAGTAAGTTTTTTTCATTATCCGGGAAACAATTTTCACCCCCTTGGGAGCAATATCACGCTCATTAAGAATGCTTGATCTAGAGGAAGTGAGGGGAAAGGTGGCAGGAGGAGAAAGGAACAAGGAGTTATTGAAAACAACTCATGTACCTGAAACATGACCTAAACTAGCTCATTTCAAACTCATAACGACCCGTGAGGTAGGTATTGTCATTTTTACTTTGCAGATGTTGAAGTACCACATTAGATCACATGAGATCAAATGAGCTAGTAAGGTCATAAATTAGATCCTAATTTTGGTTGATTACTCAAGATGAAATCAGATGGATGATCCAGGAAATAAAGGAGAAAACAAATATATTGTATTTCTACTATGTGCCTTGCACTGTATGTTATCTGATGTAATTCTCTCAAGCACCCTGTGAGATCATGCTATTCCATTATTACAGATGAAGCAACCGAGGCTCAGAAACGTTCAGTAAACTAATCCAGGTCATGCAGCTAGTAGAGAGGGCAACCAGAATTACAACCAAGTCTGTTTAGTCTTCGAACTTCACTCTATTTTATCACATGTGGTACATAACTGATAATAAATATTTTGCCAAAAAGCCAAGTAAATACATAAATCTTAAAAAG